TCATTACACAACCTCCTTTTTATTGGCCCTAAACACTCAATAACAGAACCTGACTTGCCATTTTATAATTAAACAGTCAAAAAAATAAAAAATAAAAAATAAAACCCTAAGGACCACCACTCAAAATTGGAGTGATGGAAATAAAATTGGCTACCCATGAGAATTGATTCGGATCTTTTACATTTGGCTACAATGATCACGTATTAAAAACAGTGGATTCAACTACACAGATCACAAATTTCTTTCAATTGACAAAAAGGAAGAATCTTTCATCATACCCACGATTGATTTGTATAGTCATCAAGATCTTTGATCATTTACAGAAAAGAACATCATCAACACACTAAAACCCTTAACTGATCATGAACTCACAAAATTAAATCAAAAGAAGATTAATCAGCATGAATTACTAGCAAAAGAAGTGAACCTGGACCGAAACAATAAAGAAATCCAAAACGGTGAAGCTAATGTTCTTATACTCCACAGTCTCCACATTAAACACTGTAAAAGAAGGTGATACAGAAAGATCATTAGTGATCAAACAACATATAAACAAATAAATGTATTATTTGTAATGACAGATAGAGAACATACAAATTGTGGGAATAGTAGTCACAATCTCTTCAAGCTTGTGCTTATACAGAATGGTCGTCTCACGAACAGTATCAGGACCCTAAAAGGCCTTAAGGATAACCATACAGTCTAGAGGAGAGAAGGATATAAAAAGGAACCAACTGGTGCTGGGCTGGAGGCTCCACCTGAGTTAAGTGGTAGGAGATCAATGGCGCGAGTTAAAGGCATTGCCTTGTTGCCCTGATCAACGGCGTGGATCAAAGCCCAATCGTCCCTCACCGGTTAATATCCCCAAACATCCACTATTTACAGTAATAAACCAGGGCACGGGTCCCACAACTTGATCCGAACCGCTGGATCTTTCCACCAAGACCCACAATTAACAGGAGATGCCTTCAAGAGAGTGAAGACGTACGGAAATAGCCAATGGCTCGTAGTTGAGGAAGAAAGGACGGGTGGGAAAATGGCAAAAACTCTACTTAAACCCCCAAATTTACTGAAAAATAGCATTTATGCCCCTAAACTAAAAACAAAGCAAATAAACCCTCCAACTCCACTAATGATACAAATAAACCCTTTTAACAAACGGGCAATATATATTATAGAACATTTTGTCTCTACTTCAAAAACCTTTTTTCTTTTTCCTTTTATAAAACCTTAAGTTATTTTTTTTTTAACATGAAAAATTTTGAGAAAAGGATAAGTTTATAAGTAATTGGTGGGAGTTAAACCCTCAATCACTTAAACCTAAACTCTTAAATTTAATGGTGAACTATAGGTGTTTTGAGTTGGCTCTTGGCTACCTCCCTTCATGCTGGATGTTGGTTTTGTTATTTTATTTATATTGGATTAATTTTTGCTTATGTTTGGAACAAGTATGTTGTTTTATGTTGGATTAATCTATATTTATGTTTGGAACAGCTTATGTTTGATTAATCCTTATTTATGTTTGGAACAAGTTTATTGATTTAATTATTTATGTTAAATTAATATTTATTTATGTTTGATGTAAAAATTATATATTTAGATATTAATTGGTGGGAAATGGGAATCCTCGTGAGGATCCCCATTCCTTGCCAGAAATGGGGATGGGGGGGGCAAAATCTGCCCTTAGTCAAAAATCACCGCAGGGATCCCCATCTCTGCCATTGGCGAGGACAAGGACTCTCCAGCCCCGCAGAGCCCTGCTAACATCCCTAATTCTCTAGTACGTATTTTTACTAATTAACGACCTCCCTAATAAATGGCCTTGGCTTCTCTCCTCTCATCTCCTCTCACATCACTTCCCCTATATATTAATTAAACCTCTTCCACCCTTTTGATTTTCATCACCTCAGTTTCCACTCTTTTTTCAACAACCAAGCAACAATAGCTGCTGCATTAATGCCTCAAGAACCTTTGTTCTTCAATGCTTCGGTTACTAATCAATTTGAATCCAACAATATACCTTCATAGTTCATATGGCTCACAAATGGACTAAACAATATTTTATGTTTAATATCACCTTGAAAGCATGAATATCCATGAATGAAAAGGGTTTATTTGCATCATTAGTGGAGTTGGAGGGTTTATCTGCTTTATTTTTAGTTTAGAAGCTTAAATGCTATTTTGGGATAAGTTTGAGGGGTTAAGAAGGGTTTTTGCCTGAGAAAATTGGAAAAGGTGGAGGAAACTGGTACATGACAAAGTTTTAAAGATGTGGCTTTGATTTGTTAAACGTGGATGAGTTCAGAACTAAACACATGGTAGAAACATGATCCTCATAAGATCCAAATCTAGTGTACTGCAATCAATCTTGATGAGCTAAATTTATATACATATTAATATAAAATTTTTATCTTAATATTATTAATATTTGGATGAGTTTTATGAGATTTTACTTTATTTTACACAATTTTAGTTGTCTGTGTAGGAAAGGACTACATTCGAAGAAATCATAACTTTTAGGAGTAAATTGCAGAGATCAAAAACTTGAGGATCAACTTGTGCAGAATCCAGAAGTCAGGCACCAGGACTGTTACTTACCATTACAGAAATAGCTAAGGCCAGAAATCCGACACGGTGACATTGTGCGCGGAACAGAAGTGTCGGCACCTTGTTGAAGGTGTTGACCCTGCACGCAATTTTTATTAATTTATTATTTTGAGTGTGGATCCCATTTCTATTCCAATTAGGGTTTCTGAAACCCTATAAATATCCATCCAAATTCAGAATTAAAGAGGGAGCTTTGGGAGGTTGACAGTACCCCTCTTATGGGTATTATTGGAGATCAATATAGAGATTCTATCAACAATAGAAGATCAAGGAGTTTAATTCTTTCAAATTAGATTTTATTTTTCCTTATATTATTTTTAACTATTATTTAATATTCGAATGTTCATAATTATGATTTCAAGTTTCATTATTTTTATTATGAACTGATTTAATTAATTAGGGTTAAGATGTAGCTTAATCAATTCAATATGAGTTTTTATGATTTTTACACATTTGAAATTGCTATTTCATGATAAATATATATTATTATTCTTAATGCTTTTTAATGCTTGATCACCATTAAAACTAATTTGGAGAGCATAATTGAAACCGAGATGAGATTTTATGCAATAACTTCTAATAATATATACCATGAATTGGATAAAAATTAAAGATGGACCAACGTGATTTGTGCAGTATTAGTGATAAGTAGACTTAATTTTCTACGTATACAAGGGAATTTCACATAATATAATGCATCTTTATTTATTTAAATTCACATAGAAATATAGTGGGTTAATAGATTAAAATAAGTTTGGTATAACTTGATAAAAGTATATCAAATAGGATAGAAAATCCCGCTGTCACATGAATAGTAATATCTTGAAAGTATAATAATCGAAAATCCATATTAATTGATTATGGTGAAATCAATACCTTAGTACCTTATATCTTGATTAGTTTTATTTTAATTGTTATTTTTTATTAATTTTAATTAAAATTTCTTCCTTTTCGATTAATCAAATAAATTTAGATTAATTATTTTAGTACTTAATTAATCACTATCCTCGTGAATTCGATACTCTACTTATCATTATATTATTTGAAGTGATTAGTACACTTATTAGGGTAATTTTAGCACATTCAATATAAGTAATAGGGCTTTTTAATTATTAACTTACATTTAATATATCAAAGTTTAACCTTAATTATTAACTTACATTTAAAATTAAAGTTTAGTAATTAAAAAAGAAAATAATACACGTAATATTAACATTAAAATTAATATTAATTTTTTATTTTTGTAGTATGATTTAATGACAAAATATATATTAATTATACTTTAAAGTATAAGTTAAAAAATTTCTAAATAATATAATGATAAAAATTAAATA